TTCGCCTGACGTTTCGAGATCCATCGCGGATTCGTCATCAGAGACATAATCAAAAAACAGTAGCAGATTCAGGTCTTTGATTATGTCTCTGATGACGAATCCGCGACGGATCTCGAAACGCCAGGCGAATAAACTATTGTCCCAGCGATCGAGTCGTCTTCTTCTCATTCAGCTCCTTGTTGTTGCGTACCTTTTGTATTATATTTATGGCTTCTCATTTGGAGGAAGGTCGCATGGCACTATGCAGTTTGCAGAGTGGTAAAACATCATTGCAGAGGAGAACGATGGCGTGACTAGTTGTTAATCGAAGTTCATAAAGTGTTCCACGTACGCTTCTCTGCGCCCGACTTTGGTCGAGTTGTCAACAATAAAGCCACAGTTCAAATAGCTAACAGAGTTAATCAGTGTAGAGGCTTTATCAAGAACCTTGTGAGTTTTCCAACGCTGGTACCCTTTGAATTTTGCTCTGTGGTGGTCGTTATTTCTGTCCAATGTTTCTTTCAGTCGTCTCTAGCTGTCTTAACTGTCATTCCTCGGAGTTAGCCGAAGTAAGCATTGTTACGGAGCCTGATCGTAATCTTCTAGGGGAGGGGGTTAACTACAAAGTTTTCCGGCTGATCTATTCACTGCGTTAATCCGAGAATTATTTCAGCTGCCTCGTAGACTTAGGACTTCAAAAATCACAATTTTCGCCTACAATCTCCTACAACTTGGATCGTGAGCCGTGACTGGATTTCTCAGCCGTTCTGGGCTGTCGTCGGTTTGTAGCATCAAGTCCCCTTGTACATGACGATTTTGGGGGGTTAAATTAAAGGTGTCTGCGAACAGAAACCTGGTCAGTTGTACGTATACAAACCGATCATTAACTTGTTCCCACGTAAGTAGTGCATGACTCCCATTTTGGTAGTTTAAACCTTGACAGTCCTTTAGTGTTTGAATTAATTTGCATCCGTTGATGCTTTCTTTATGCAAATAGACCGAAGATTGTCTAGCATGCGGATGCCCAGTCCTTATGTACACTTCATTTTACTCAATCTTGAAATGTGAATGCTATGCAAATGCAGGCAATTAGGGAACTACTAAAAAAACACTGATACCGTGTCCTTAGTTTCCGAACAAGCTTTAAAGTCTAGCGTTTGGAGGAATCCGCAGTTTTGCAAGAATCTCAGTTACTAGGCGAAATGTGATTGGGCCGTACGCCAGCGAATTCATTTGTCCTGAAAAGCCAAGAGTTTTTAGCAGACTGCAGTTCCCTAACAACAGACTTTTGACTTATGGCTCATTGACCATCCCTCTAGACTTCTTCTTCCCTTGTTAGTTTACACAACCCAACAGTTTAATGCACCCCTGTTCATAAACCTTTCATCTTTCCTACCTGACGTGTATTGCTCCCCAGGCCTCACAGTATAGTATTTATAATTGGCTTACATTGTTACTGCTTGTTACAAGTACTCAATGTGTAATCAGTGCAATCAGTTTCGCGCTTATTAACCGCCTGCCTGGTTGTGGCTGTTGACTTGTACCTATCCTTTTAACAGATGTACATACGCTCCAGCTTTTGGTATTTTAAATCCTGACAGTCATTCAGAGGTTTAGTTAATTTTTACCCTTCGAAGCTTTCCTTATTTAAATAGACTAGAGGTTATCCAGCATGCTTATGCCCAGTCTTCAAATGTGCACATTTTTTCTAAATTATTAGAGAGGTTTGGTAGATCTGAATAATTTAGTTAATCCAATTGTGAAAAACTCGCTGCCTTGGTGGGCCGCCTGAATTATTCAAATCTGCCAAACCTCGCTAATAATTAAGTTAGCCTAGTAGTCATGCAAGTAGATTCTAGATGATTGCTTAGGAAATCCTGCGTGGGCAGTCAGCTTGCTGTATCTGTAATGGTGGATTCTATACGATCAACAGGTTCGTCGGATAAATCGACCCAAGTGTGATTAAACTCACGGCTCACGGCGAATCTCCTAGCTCACTGGTAGAACGTTGGCTGCGCAAAAGCCTTCCCTTCTGTGTGGGTTCGTCTCCCATCGAGGCCGCGAGTTTTTCACAGTTGGGTCGATCAAACTTTTTCTCAATCTTAAAAGTCACATTTAACGTTTTTTTTTAAAAAAAAAGAAAATAACTTTCAGAATTTCGGAGGCTAAACAAGAGATAACGTCCCTTTTTGACAATCATGTGGGCTGTTGGTGAAACGTGTCTATATTCGAAGTCACCAAATGGAGACTACACTTTTGCCTGCATCAAGGATGTTGATGATGTTCAAAAGCGACTTCTTATTGGCTCCTTTGCTGAAGACGATAAGGATGAATGGGTTCCAATGTCATGTGTGCTTGCCATAGACAACGAGAGTCAGCTCCTCAGTGCAATCTCCGCACCAAACGCCAGTGCTGCTTTTCAGGTGACTTTATGATCTTTCTGTGCACTCAAAATCACCCTGTTGTTTCTTGCCATTGCCCTAATATGCTCACCGCATTGTGCCGGCGACCATCAGTGTGCATACCCGTATCATAAGTTTCAGTTACGCTAAAGACTGGCTTGTCGAGAAGACGACA